TATAGATCTACACAATGATTTAGAAATTATTCCTTTCTCTTTTGGTTCTCCAGATGAGTTTTTGTGGCATTAGTTCCATTATTTTTCTCTTTAACATTTTTAGAATTCAACAATGAGCTAATTTTTCCTTCTGAGCAAGTTTTAAAGTAAATATTTCATTTTTTCATTTGTTACAGCACAACTGCAAGTTTTTTGTTTACTTAGTTATTTGTGCCTATCCTGAGACTTAACTCAGGCCTGGGTGCTGTCCCTGAGCTTTTTGCTCAAGGCTAACACTGTACCACTTGAGCCACAGATCCATTTATGACTTTTTTGGTGGTTAACTGACAATAAGAGTTTCACAGACAAAAAAAAAAAAAAAAGAGTTTCACAGACTTTTATGCCTGGGCTGGCTTTGAACCTCAAGTGCAGATCTCTGCCTCCTGAGTACCTAAGATTACAGGTTGAACCACCAGTGCCTAGCTATTTATTTTTGGTTAAGCTATTGTATGTTGTTTTTTGAAAATAATTCATCTATTACATTAGAATGTTGAATTTATTGATACTAGATTATTTATGATATTCCCTTTCTGACCTTAGAATGGCTAGAGAAACTGTAATAATGCCCCCTAATAGTAATAATCTGTCTTCTCCTCCTCTCTCTTAAAACTAATGGGTTTACCTATTTTTAATATTCTCTAAGATAGATTTTTGTTTTTATTTATTTTCCTCAATGTTCTTCAGTTTTCTATTTCATTGATTTCTTTTCTGATCTTTATTATTTCCATATTTCTGCTTTGCTCTATTTTTATTTTTGTAAAGGCAGAAGTGAGATTATTAAGACTTTTTGTTCCTTTCTAATCTAAGCATTTAGTGATCAAATTCCCTGGAAACACTGCCTTCATGACATCTTACAAATTCTGCTATGTTATGCTCTCATTTTTATTGAGATCAAGATTTTTTTTTTTGTGTGTGTGGGGGTGGAGGGACGGGGGTCAGTGATGGGGCCTGAACTCTGGGCCTGGGTACTCTCCCTCAGCTCTTCAGCTCAAGGCTAGTACTCTACCACTTGAGCCATAGCTCCACTTCTGACTTTTTCTGCTTATGTGGTGCTGAGGAATTGAACCCAGGGCCTCATGCATGTGAGGCAAGCACTCTACCCCTGAGCCACTTCCCAGCCTGAGATCAAGATATTTTTAATTTCTTTTTTTCTTTCTCCAATAACTCTTCTGTTAAAAAGTATATAATTTGCAAGAATGGAAATACTTTTTCTGTAAGAGAGGCTTAGTGTGATGTTAGCTGGTACTGGTATTTATATTGTTATGAAAAAAAGTTGCTAGGTTTATGGAATTTCATGTCTCACCTACAGTTGCGTTGACTGGGCCAAACCACATGATTTTGTCAGCTCTCAGTCTGGATGTCCCCTACCTCTGACTTAATGTATAACCCCCGAGGGATCTTCCAGAAAGATGCTGTTACTGATTTCCAATAATTCCACTATAATCAAAGAATGTATTTTGCATGACCTGAATCCTTTTAAACTTACTGAAACTTGTTTTACTTTCCACAGTATACTCTGCCTTGGTTAAATAGGTCAAGTGTACTTGAAAAGGAAATACATTCTGTATTTTTGAGTAAAGTGTTCTATAAATTTCAACTGTGTTAAGTTGGTTAATAGTGTCCACTCTTGCACATCCTTATTGATTTTTCTGCCTACTTACATTTCGAACTGTGAGGATGGATTTGTCTGTTTCTTCTTTTAGTTCTATTAGCTTTTGTTCTATATATTTTAAACTTTGTTATTAGATGAACCTGTTTTGAATTATAAAGTTTTTTTAATGATTGGTATTTTAATATTGTGAAATAACCTTTTCTGTCTTCGACATCATTTTCTATTTTTTTTGCTCTCAATTCTACTGTCTGTTATTGATTTAGCCATTCTGACAAGCTTTAGAATGGAATATTTTTCCCATTCTTTTGCCTTGATGGATTTGTGTATTTACATTAAAGGTATGTTTCTTATAGGCAGCTGGATTTGAACTTTTTATTTTTATACATGGCAAGTTAAGATTGATTGCCTTTGGAAAGCAAAAATACAGGTGGAAATAGAAGAAAAAGGTGGAATCATGCGTCATTTCTTGGAAAAAGATTTGAGATTACTATGAGGCCTTTAATGGAAGTGTTGGTTGATTTTTGTTCCTTTCTGTCTTAAGATAAACTAAACTTTATTACCTAGCAGAGCATAAGACCTATAAAACTACTCAAAATGAATAGTTATATGTTTAAGTTATGAGGCTAGTATATTCATTTCCTGCATGATCTTGCTATAAAGGCTTGTAAGATTGCTTTTAAGAAAATCATGACATCCAGACACGTTCTGCCATCAGTAACAGTTCTTTTTCAAGACTGATGGAGGAAAAAGGAGAAAAATATCAATAATATAGCACTTTGAATTTTAGAATATGTCAAATAAGCTTTCCCCTCTCCTTTACCAACTATATAAACAAATAAAAATCTGGGTAAGGCAAAAATTGGAAGGTGTATCTTATAAGAATCACATAAGCACACAGCAAATATAGCATCCCACTTACAATTTTTGAAAATACATTTTTATATGGTCATATTTAATAACATTTTTATTGTAACACATTATATAGAATATAAATTTCATCAGTTTCAAACATTTACTTTCAAGGTAGAGAGGTAGCTCAGTGGTGAAAGGTTGGGCTAACATATCCTCAATTCCCAGCACCACAAGAATGTTTTTAAAAGGTTACTTCTACAAGCTTTTAATTATGTTGTACAAATATAACCACTCTCTAACTCAAGAATGTTTCCATCTTCCCCAAAAGAAATGCCCTACATATTAGAATTTAATCTCAATTCATCAATACACTGATACCAATAACCTACTTTGTCTTTATGGATTTGTCTACTCTGGACACTACATATAAATGGAATTATATATTATTTTCTTTCACTTACAGTAATGTTTTTATGTACAAGGCAAATTTTTCAGTCCAGTGATATTTTACTAAAATAAAGCAACCTGTTAGAATAGTACTAGCTATGTGGTAAAGCAAAAGAAGATTCTACCTAACATTTGTGGGCCTTCATTTGGAGCTTGATTTCTTCAAACTAACTTCTGCAGACCTCATTCTTCTCTGCTGTAAAATGAGGGTATTAGATAAGGAGAGAGCGAAGATCCTTTAAGTTCTGTCAACCCCCAGGAACCTTTGTGGTACAGAAACGCATGCTGTCTCTTGTTTCAGAAAAACAAACTGGTATAGAATTGATAAGCTAGGTTCAAGAACTTTAGTTCCTAATTTGATGCTTGGCACAAGTGCTATTAATCATACTTAGACTTGACAATAACCTTGAGCAGTTAACACTCAATCAGGAGAGAAATATAACAAAAGTCAACATAAGCTGTTTGTATCTGAGTATGCCTCCCTTCAATACTTCGTTTTGTTTTGTTTTGTTTTGTTGGTTGTGGGGTTTGAACTCAGGGCCTGGGCGTATCCCTGAGCCTCTTTGTGCTCAAGGCTACTGCTCTACAGCTTGAACCATAGCACCACTTTCAATTTTTGAGTGGTTTATTGGAGATAAGAGCCTTATGAGGGCTTTCATGCTGGGGCTGGCTTCTAGCCTTGATCTTCAGATCTCAGCCTCCTGAGTAGCTAGGATTACAGGTGTGGGCCACTGGTACCTGGCCTTCAAGCCTAAAAAGGGATAATGTAATCATGATCTCCACTGCCACTTCCTCCCTGCAAGGCTTCAAAAACTCTTAAAAATTTGTGTGTATGTGCTATACTTTCATTTTCTTATTCAATTCATAATTTTATCTCTGATATATAGAACAATAACAGGTACAGAGGTAGTAACATTTTATACTGGGTATTTATTTAATAAATGGTATACAGTTGTATGGAAGTCATATCATAAAAGCTGAAGAAAAGGTATATATTGAGTTTTCTCCCCTTTCTTACAATTGGTAGAATCATTAACACCTACAACCTATGTTCTCCTAGGAAAATACAAAAAGATTAAAGACTAAAGATCCAGTATTTGAGAACAGAAGTAAATTTATTTTATGAATTTTGATACAATACAAAATACAGTAAATTTAAAAGGCTGCTTTGTTGCAGAAATTAATCAGCACCAGTTTATGCTTTAAATTACATAGAACCATGGTGTTTATTAAAATAAGTGCATATCTTTTGGGCTGTATTAAAAATAAACGAAAACGCAAATGCAAATAAATGTCACCTGGTTCGTTTTCACCACCCCCTTGGAAGGAAATGAAATCATTATATGCTTTAAAACTTTATTTTTAGCAAGAATACATGCTGTGTGTTGTTGGAGACCAAAACTCAAGAAGATTCTGAAAAGTTGCACGCTATGGAGCTAGATTAATGCCTGTGGATACAGGGCATTTCCTGATTCAACATTCAAATTAGGAGAGTAGTGTTGAGCATCATCAGGTCCTCCTGGATGTTCTCCTTCCTAGCTGCCATCTTTCTCATCCCTTTCTACTCAACTCTCCATCCTCTTTGCCTTCTATAACCTCCCATGCTCACTCCATCCATACCTGATTTCCTTCCAACTTTCTTCCACCAGAACCTGAAGGGGAATGGTGAACAAAAAAAAAATGCAGGGAGCTTGGAAATGACAATCACATACGTCATCTTTTTCCTGAGTACAAGCCCAATGGTGACAAATCAGTAACAGTCCTGATGAAAATTGCCCAGCACCCACATTGCCTAATTTGTGTGTCTTTCAATTACTTGGATTTGACTTCTTAACTTGATTAATGCTTTCATGATGAGGAATATTTTAAGATATTCTTTCAGCATTTCAAGAGAATTATTTGCAAGTTTATGAGAGAATCATTTGCAATGTTGCTTTCATTGCAACAACATGTAATAAATCTACCATGCCCACCAGGTTCAACAGAGAAAGAAAATAGAGAGACAGAGAGATAGAAACAGAGACAAAGAGAGAGGGAAAGAGAAACACAGAGTAAGAGATAGACTCAGAGAGAGAGAGAGAGATTGTACCAAAACTCTAGCCTATTGTGACCCTCATTTCAATTCTGAAGTTACACTGGTACACCATAACAAGTTACATTTGGTACAACCATATTTTTCAGTGACTATTAGAAGAGTAAAATTTTAACAAGCATTTCAGAAGTAAAATAATTTTCTATAATTAAACCTTGATTACAAAAGGGATTTCAGTGCAGGATATAGTCTGCCTCATTGCTATACAAATGTTTCACTCAGCTGCGTCTATAAATTAACAAAAGGCCTTTCCATTAGAGAATTAGTTTATTCAATATTTCTTCAAATATTAAAGAAGTAAGGGGTCAAAACTGCATCCAAAAATCTTTCTGAGAAGATAGGCTTTCAAGGGATCTGTTTTCAATGTTATTTTCTCTGCTCATCAGCATAGTTCATAGGGACACTTCTGAGGATGCAGGACTTTTCTCTTATATGTCAACTGTCTCTTATGTCAAGTGCCCTTGAGAAAAGCTTCTCAGTAGAAAAAACTCAGATGCAAATTAAAGATATTATGTTACTTCAAATTTCTCAAGAGTGGAAGGCCAGAGAAACTCAATCTTTCACTTTGGAATGGCACAATGCCGACATTCATATTAGAAAAGGAGATTTTTATCACGAGTTATTATGGGTAGCTCACTGAAGTACAGTTAGCCCCCTAAATTCTCACCTGAACTACTGTGTCAAATACTCTGTCATCTTAGAAAGAACTCTCCTTCTCACCCCCAGCATCTAATTTTAGGGTTCCCATTTAAAGAGCTCCAAAGGGCAAATCCAACCCTTAGGATTTCAACCTCAGTTTAATGAGCTGACAGGGTTAGCTTCACTCAGACTGAAGTAGTAGGAAGACTGAAGTAGTAGGAGCCCCCACAACATTGATGTCAGATTTGAGACAACGGGGGGGGGGAATCTAAGAGCAACAAAAATTGGTACTGCCTGATATTTGGAGAGGGTGAGGGTGCAGGTCTTCAGGAATAAACAATTCTTATACTTTATAATACTGCAGACATTTATTTTTTAAAGATATTGTGATACAAAAGTTATATCTCAACTTGTAAGAAATAACAATTTATCAGTCTTCCTGGAATGACTAATCTAGATTTCATTTTTACTATATAAAATCACAAAGATATGCAGAGCCAGTCACAACAATTCGATTTCATTTGGGCAATATTCCTAAGTCCTATAAATAAATAGGTGAGACATCTCAAGTGAGCACCTGCAGAATCAGTTACATTTCAAGTTTCCAGGAACAAATAAAATTATGAGGCTTGCCCTTCCCACAGTTCTTCGTTTGCCATTTCCCTTGTTTTTGTACCAAAACACAATTCTTTCCAGGCCTTGAGTTTTGAGGGCGTCCTCTCCTCCAGTTGGTGAAGGCAACAGGTTCACCACCAATCCACACCCAGCGGCCAGCATGCTCTTGGTCATTCAATCCTATGAGCCAAAAGAACATGACAAACAATGCTATAATATTTACTCTTAGCTATCTTGTCTAGTCTGTTGCAGTAAGTGTAGGAGTCAATTACATGCATGCCCAGGTTCTATAACTAGGAATCAATAATACTATAAGGCACCATTAAGACTATAAGGCTTTAGGGAAAAGCAGAAGCCAGTCCAAGTTCAACTTTCTGGTTGAGCCTCTTTGGGCATCTAAGGAATGAGTATGAAAATAGCATCTGTAGGACTATGACAGATTAAATAAAATAATATATGTAACAGCATATGTAAGTGTTTAATAAATGAAGTTATAATTATTATTATATCATCATACCTACAGCTCCTATCTTGGGAAAAGGTATTTTTGGTCCATTGGTTTTTATATTTGGTGTTTTGTTTTTTTTGGGGGGGGGTCCGGTCGTGGGGCCTGAACTCTGGGCCTGGGCGCTGTCCCTCAGCTCTTCAGCTCAAGGCTAGCACTCTACCACTTGAGCCACAGCACCACTTCCGGCTTTTTTCTTTTTGCTTATGTGGTGCTGAGGAATCGAACCCAGGGCCTCGAGCATGCAAAGCAAGCGCTCTACCACTGAGCCACCTTCCCAGCCCCTGGTTTTTATATTTGGAAGTAGCTTCTGATATATTACTTTTAGTCAGGAATTTAAGATGTTTCAATCTGCTACAATTCCAATAAAAACAAGTTTTTCTCCTTTTGCCTCTCTATTCCCACTATCAACTTCTACAAATTACTCTTTAATATTTAAAGCTTCTGCAATATGTTCTTTGTTGTTCTTGATGAAGCATTCTTCCCCCTCCTTCTCATTCACAATAGAAATTAAAAAGAAAACATTGATAAAAGGATCTCCTGCAATAACAACATTCTGACATCCTCCAACTTGAAGCTGACCATGAGAATAGTCCTATATTACACAGTAAATTAACTTTGCCTAGCCAATCTCAGTCAATATTTTTGGGTGGAATTAACAGAATTGTTTTTAGTTAGGCATATTCTATCTAACTTCACCTAGATTGCTTCTTTGAATTATTGATTAGAATACACTACGTCTAAGAATGTTGTGAAGATACAGATTTAAAATCCACTTTTATGGATTAAGAGAAAACATATTCCAGACTAATGTGATATATTTCAATTCATTTTTAAAATATGAAGACCTATTGAAGTTTACAGAAAATTTGAAAATCTAACACTGGCTTTATTAGAATTTCTTTGGTTCACCTTGAGACTTCTATTTCAAATGTGGCTTGAAAAGATTTGTTCTGCTGGGCACCAGTGGCTCATGCCTATAATCCTAGCTACTCAGGAGGCTGAGATGTGAGAATCGTGGTTCAAAGCCACACCAGGCAGGAAAGTCCATGAGATTCTTATCTCCAATAAACCACCAGAAGACCGGAAGTGGTGCTGTGGCTTAAGTGGTAGAGCACTAGCTTTGAGCTGAAGAGCTGAGAGACAGTGCCCAGGCCCAGGGTTGAAGCCCCACACTGACACAACAGAAAAAAGACAAAAAGAAAAGATTTGTTCTAGTGATCAAAATTATAGAAAATATTAAAAATTTCAGAAAACAAGGTGTAAAATTCAACACACCTATAATTCTTGACTAGAGGTAAAGCATTTCTAACTCTTTAGTATGTATCTCTTTATGCTTATATTTATACATTACCACATTTATATTAATTTTTATTCTCAATTATTTCATGCTTCATGTGACTTTTGCAATGCATTATATAATTTATAATTTGTATCTACATGTATTTATTGAATCAATTAAAAAGCATCAAGCAATTGTTATGCCTTTAATAGAATCATATAAGCATTAAGTAATAAAAAAACTCTACCTTTATCTGAAACACATTATAATTTAATTCATTATATAACACTATAAAATATTACATAGCACATAATTCAAATTACAGAAATTTTTAATTTTTTAGATGTTGGACTTGCGATTGCACTGGATTCTCTTAGCAATCAGCCTGACCACATCCTTAAGTATTCTTTTAGCATAGATGTCTAAAAATATTGCATCAAAAGGTTTAAGATGAATTTTCCTTTTGTAGTGCTCGGGATTAAACCTAGGTCCTGTTGTATGCCAACCATATATTACCACTAGGTTATATCCCAAGCCCTTAACATGAAATTTAAAATTCAGGTGTTTAGGGTATCCATCTAAGCATTGACCATTACTACAAACTACAATTATTTGCCCTCTGGAAGGGAGTAGCAGGTGTCAGAAGCCATAGTCTTGCACTCTGCTCAGTGTAGTACAGATACTTGCCTATCCAAAAGGGTTTTTTTCCACTGATGTGCCACAACCACTGCATGTGTTGCCTGGAGAATACAGTGACAAGGTTGCCCAGGTGTCTGCATATAAGCAAATGAAATTAAGAGTATTAACCAAAGAATTTTACAAGGAAATGCAAAGCAAAAAAAACTTTTTGAGATTTTAATACCCTATTTTTACTTTCATGAATATCTGCAGTCAGGAGGTAATAACAAGGAAAATCTAGGCATTACAGCACCCAGGCCCCACAACCGAAAAAAAAAAAATCTAGGCTTTAAAACATAGTCCACCTGGGAGTGGACTTAGGGAATTAGGGAAGGGAAGGGGAACAACAGAATGGTGAGAAAAAGGCCAATGGGGGAACCAATGCAACAGCGATATTCACAAGACAATGTGTTAGAAATAATGTGTACAACTTGGAGGGGAGGGAAGTAGGAGAAAAATGAGGGAAGGGGTAACAAGAAATGTACTTATTACCTTACTTACGGTAACTGTAACCCCTCTTGTATATCAACTTGACAATAACTTAAAAAAACATAGTCCAGTATGATTTAAACATCTTTGTGGAAAATTAGTAACTAACTATTTATCAAGACTGATTACTTACCATCTCACTCCAGTAAGATTAGCTACCATCAAGAATAAGAACATCAACAAATTATGGTGATGGTGTGGAGAAAAAGGAACCCTATTGTGCTGTTTGTAAGAATATAAAGCAGTGCAATTACTCTGGAAGGCACTTTGGAGATTGCTCAAAAAGCTAAACATAGAACTATTATCCTATGATGCAACTAACTATAGCACTATGGGGCATTCACTCAGAACATTACAAGTTAGGATACAGTAAAGACAGTTGCACAACCAAGTTCATTACTGCATTATTCACAATACCCAAGTAAGGAACTTGCCCAGATGTTCTACAATTGATGAGTGAATAAAGAAAATGTAGCATTTTACTCATCTATCAGAAAGATGAATGTTATGTTATTTGCAAGTAAATGGATAGATGTAGGAAAGTCTTATGTCAAATAAAGTGAGTCAGGCTCAGAGATACAAAGGGTACGTGTTTTCTCCCATATGGGAAGTTAGATCTAAAACATGCATGAAAGCATATAGAGAGTTATATGCACATGTATGCAAACAAATTAACTAATGGATGATATACACAGAGGAGCTGTCTAGTGGTTCTAAACAACTAATGAACCATTTAACAAAATGAATACAAGGATGTGAACCATGTCTTGTGGGGACCAAAGAGGTGAACATACAAATAGTGAGAGGAAGTGTGAACAAATGCAGTTATTATAGTTCATTATGGGATAATGAACTACTTAACTTGAGAATATGGATGAAATGGAAAAAGATGGGAATTATTAATAATTATGAAAGGGTGACATTGATAAAGATGCATTGTAATAAAAAAACTGTTAGTTGAATGGTGATTCCTTTATACAAGTATTTAAAGATAATAATAATAGCTCTATTATTATTATTATTTTGTCAGCATGGGGCTTGAACTCAGGGTTTGGGCACTGTCCCTGAGCTCTTTTGCACAAGGCTAGTACTCTACCACTTGGAGCCACAGCTCCACTTCTGGTTTGTAAGTGGTTAATTGGAGATAAGTTTCACAGAGACTTTTCTGCCCAGGCTGACCTCGAACCATGATCCTCAGATCTCAGCCTCCTGAGTAGCTAGGATTATAGGCATGAGCCATCAATACCTGGCAATAAAAATATAACTTTTTAAAAGATGAATTGTACCCATAATCTGACTGTGGACTTGAAACCCCTTTGTACAACATAAGCAGAAAAAGCTGGAAGTGGCGTTGTGGCTCAAGTGGTAGAGTGCTAGCCTTGAGCTGAAGAGCTGAGGGACAGTACCCAAGCCCAGAGTTCAGACCCCACGACCAACACCACCACCACCACCACCAACAACAATAATAAAAATAAAAGATTGGTTTTTCATGTCAAAATACTATGCCTCTTTATAAAAAGATTTTTTTCTAGACAGGACACTCATAGCTCTCACTTGCAATCCTAGCTATTCAGGAGGCTAACACTTAAGGATCACAGTTCAAAGCCAGACCCAGCAGGAAAGTCCTGTACACTTTTATCTCCAATTAACCACCAAAAAGCCATAAGTGGAGCTGCGACACAAATGGTAGGGTACTAAGCATGAGCAAAATAGCTCAGGGATAGTACCTAGTCCCTGTGTTCAAAGCCAGGACCAGCACAAAAAAATTATTTTAACTGATAAAATGTGTTAATCTGATTATAACTTAGCCATTTATTTTTAGTTTAAATGACCTAAGGTTGAAATTTTGAACATGGTATGATTAGTCCAATAATTATATTGTATTATTTATATTAATTATATTCTTATATTTAAAATTAGTTAAAATATCTGTTCTTAGCATATATGAAATTTCCCCTACAAATTACAGACTTTTCTATAAATTAATTTTTACAGTAGTAAAAAGAAAGTGTTGTGTCTAATTACTTAGCAGGGCTTATTCAAATCTTTAAAAACACTTGAACAAAAACAGCCAATACATTATTTCTATTCTTCTTTAAAGCATTTCACATGAGAAACAAATGCACAATATTTATGTGTCTCATATTACATTGTAATCCATAAATATGTGTATACATTTGCCAATTAAATATAAAATTACAGCCAGGCACTGGTGGCTCACCGTGATAATCACGCAGTGGCTCACACTGTCATCTTAGGTACTCAGGAGGCTGACATCTGAGGATCGAGGTTCTAAGGCGGCCAGGCCAAAAAGTCCATGAGACTTTTATCTCCATTAAAATGCTCAGAAAAAGCCAGAAGTGGTGCTGTGCTGAAGTGGTGAGCTTTAGCCTTAAGCAAAAGAAGCTCAAGGACAGAGCCTGGTCCCGAGTTCAAGCCTCAGGACTAGCACCAAATTAGATTAACTAATTAAATTAAAATGAGAAATCATTGAAAAAAAATTAAATCAAACAACAAATACAATGAAATCACCATGATATCTTGCCCTGATCAATATCCATTGATATGAAAATAAATAAACTTATCAACACTTGTATAAGTATAGACAATTGTTTAACTCAGTTTTACTCATTTTCTCTGCTTTTTATCCTCTATAGTGAACATAATTTCCATTTCTTGGTTGTTTCCTCCCATTAATATAGCATTTTGCTGTTCTATTAAGCAATGATGCCTTCTGAGCCTCTTATGATATGAAAGACTATGCCTGCCACTGAATGGCTTTAGGCTGCTGAATTTGAGTTTTATAACTTGGTTCTAACATCACTATTTACATAATATCATGGTAATATTTAGAGCATGTATGATGGGACTTCTCTTACTCCCCTCTCAAATCAAATGTGTTCATTCTAATGCACATTGGGCTCAGAACTCAGAATAGCAAACATGTTTACCAGGCCAAGGAAGGGCTTGAGTTCTGTCCTAGTCAACACTACAGCCTCTGGACTGAGAACAAGAGGATAACACCATTTCCTCTTCTGCTTTGCAGTCCCTTCTGCCCAAATCCCTTACTGAGCCAATTTCCTTACTAAATCTCCCAACCTCATAGCCTCACGTTCACTATCAGGATTTAATGAGTTTGTTGAAAAACAAATGAAGAAGTGGCATTGTGGCTCAAAGTGACAGAGCACTAGACTGGAGCAGAAGAGCTCAGGGAAACACCTACGCCTGGAGTTCAAGCCCCACAACCACCACCACCACCACCACCAACAACAACAACAAAAATGCTTTTGCTTCTATCTGCAGACTTTTGACTGTGCAACTACAGACTTCGGTTGATGTTTGCCTTAAGATAGTGTTCTAACACAAAACTGGTATTACTTTCATCCCAAATGGGCAGCGCAAGCCGAAAAAACACAAGAATCATGGCAAGTTCGGGTATCTCAACTCCCACTCATGATAATCAGGGGACAGAACAGATAGTGAATAATCTAGAGGAGAGTTCCCAGAAAGCTCTACAAACACTACTGGTAAACATGGCAAATAAAAAGATTGAAAACCTGCAAAGGACTCTGTATGAGCGTGATAGGGAGAGAGAAGAGGCAAACCAAAGGTCAATACAGGAATATCATGAGCGTGAGGAAGCTACTCAAAGATTGATACAGGAATTGCATGAACAACTTGAGAACAGTCAAAGAGAAATAAAGGAATGGCATGAGCAGGCTGAGATCAGTCAAAGAGATAGACAGGAATTACGGGAGCTGGCAGAGAACAGACAAAGAGAAAGTCAGGAATGGCATGAGCAGGCTGAGAACACTCAAAGAGAACTACAGAAATTGCATGATCGTGAGGAAGCTAATCAAAGAGTAATACAGGAATTGAGAGAGCAGGATGAGAATACACAAAGATCACTAAAGGAATTCATGGAATCCATAAACAGAGAGCTGAAAGAAGTCAGTGAGACCACAAAGGCAATGCTGAATGGAGCCCAACAGAAGGAATGGGAGTCCAAGGAAACCATAACCAATCAATTAAGTGATTTGAGAATAAACACTGAACACCAAATTAAGGAAGTAAAGAAGTTCATACAAGATCTAAAACAAAGCTCCAACAAAGAATTTGAAGCCATCAAAGCCGACCAAACAAAGTAGACAGTCTTGATAGTAGGTTAGACCATGCAGAAGATTGAATTTTGGGTATTGAAGACAGCCTAGATATTATAGAGAAAGAACATACAATCATCCAAGACAAATCCAACAAATATGATAGATCTATTCAACACTTGGAAGACACCATCAGAAGGCCTAATCTGAGGATAATGGGTGTAGAGGAGCACCTAGAGACAGAAGTTAATGGTCTAGGAAATTTGTTTAACAGGATCCTAGCAGAGAACTTCCCAAACATGCAAAAAGATAGGCCTATTCAGATACAAGAAGCTTTTAGAACTCCAAATAGACCATACCAGAACAGGACATCCCACCGTCACATTATAATCCACACAGGATCAATTCAGACCAAGGAAAAGATCCTTAAAGCTGTCAAGGAGAAAAGATCAATCTCCTATAAAGGGAAACCAATTAGAATCACCTCAGATTTCTCAGCAGAGACA